TCAGAAAGCTTTGCGGTGCCTGCATCTCAAATTGCTTAATAAAAATAATCCTATCTACCTATTCAATTACCTTAACTAATCTATATTAAATTGTTAATGGTACGATAGTCGAAAGTCCCCCTTCATTCTCCATCCTTGCACAGAGGCTCACCGACAGCCAGGGCACCGGATAGTAAACCATTGCCGTGCGGATAGTAGACTATTGCCGTGCGGATAGTAAACCATTTGCCGTCCGGAAGCCGTGCGGGTAGTAGACTATGGCCATGCCGCATAGTAAATCATTACCGTGCAGGTAGTAAACCATTGCCGTCCGGATAGTAAACCATTGCCGGTTCACCACTGGCCACCAAGGCTTACCTCTGACAACAGACTTCGAAATTCAGAGTCTATCGGCTAACGTACCCTCAACTTACCTATTCATTACAATTAAGCCCTAGCTTACTTAAAAGTACAAAACTCAAGAGCCCAATTCATTGGCCTTTCGGCACCCACCCCACCACCTACGTAATGCCTTGGGCTCCAACTTAGTAATAATAATATAAAACTTAAACCCTAAATCTATTAATGAGTATGTGTTACAAAGTAGCCTTAGCCTACCTATTCATTACATTACGGCCCTAGCTTACCTAAAATTACAAAACTCAAGAGCCCAATTCATTGGCCTTTCGGCACCCACCCCACCACCTACGTAATGCCTTGGGCTCCAACATAATAATAATATAAAACTTAATAATTAATCTACCTATCGATACACTTACAGCGTTTTAATTTACATTACAAGATTGTTCCTAGAATTGCATTATTGCCCTTAACTACCTATAAAATTAAATTACTCTCAACCTTAATAATAATAAATTAGAATGTGTAATGAAAATAAAATTACGCTCAAATACTAACTTATGTGTATATGTATGTATTTGTGTGTGTGTGTGTGTGTGTAATACGCTGATGCGTGTAATGTGGGTGCAACAAAAAATAGAAGCGATAAACTTACGCGCCTACCTATTCAACTACATTACTGTTGGATGCTTCCTATATATCCTACCTACAATTAAAATTATGCCTATCTAACCTACCTATATAGTTACTTAATGTAATTGTGTGTGTGTGTATGTGTGCGTGTATGCATTCTTACTTAATGTTAAATTACAGAGAAAAAAGAATAAAACGTATCCCAGCCAGGCGTGTGTTCTTTGCCACTGAATGAACGAACGTGGCCTGATATCTTCCATGATGAACTCCTATGGAAGCCACAACCTGAATGAAATGAATAAAATGAAAAAATCTTATTTATTTAATTAATTTAAATGAAAATAGAAAAACGAGCCGCGGTGAAACCCGTCAGCCGGAAAAGCCAGCCAACTGGCAAAAAAAGGAACCGCAAAAAAAAACGTAAAACGAACCACAGCCAGGCGTGCATTCTTTGCCACTGAATGAACGAACGTAGCCTGACATCACAACCATTATGATCTTCCACGATGAACTCCTCTGGAAGCTTCAACCTGAATGAACCTAAATGAACCTAAATAAATGGAAAAATCTTATTTATTTAATTAATTTAAATGAAAATAGAGAAACGCAAAGAAGCCGACCGGTCGGCAAAGGAAAGAACCTCAAAAAAGGTATCTATATAGGATTTATGCTCTAAT